CCGGCGTGAACGTGTTAAAGAGTCTTAGAGATAGATCTTGTCCTTAAAACGTTTTCGAAGGTTAATTACTTTAGCAACCGTCGGGTGGTCCTCGAACTAGGTTCTTCCAATATTTTCAAACTGGCTATGAGAGGCCTACGTACGTTTATTTCCAAGATATTGAGGAAAGGCTGGCCGCAGATTGGGTTAGGCCAGTGATGGGCAATTGTTTTGACTGGCGGGCCACTTTGTGGAAGCGGAAGTTAGCGTAGGGACCTTTTAAAATGATTGCATTCAACTACACTGCATTTCAGAATGAGACATACGTATCTCGGTTCAAGGCGGATTTTTCTGACTGTCTTGGCGGGCCACAAAAAACTCTTAGCGGGCTGTTATTTGCTCCATCCCTGGATTAGGCAATCCTATTACTGCACGCAGGCGCTCACTGCTAAACCGCCGTCGGGTGCGCACTCTCTTGACTTTCGTGTTATCATTGATAAAATGGCAAATGGCTCGACAAACAGCGAAGATTTCGGCAGGCAGAGGCGCGAATAGCTCCGCGAATAAAACCGCGTGCGCCAGAACAAGTAGGTCTGCGAAGATACCGCGAGTAAAAATCCCCAACAGGTCGCGCTGAAAGTAATACCGCAAAGATTTTCAACCGCGTCAGTTGTCACAGGGGAAATTCGACAGTTTGTCATCGAGAGGCGTCTCGACATCCTGTTATTGCAGGATCCGTACGCTGGTAAGCTTGGCGCAAGTGGCACGGTTCGTGGTTTAGGAACCGGAGTTGGCGTAGCGACCGTACGCTCACAATACCCGTGGGCCCAACGTTTCCAATCCCAACTTCGCGATTAACTTCGTGTCACAGCTCAGCACTCCTCACTGTTCGTGTGCGGAGGTGTTGACTCCCTACTTTCCGCACAGCGATGATATTGAGAAGATCTGGAGAGAGTTCTTCACACTCTGAGGCGGAGAAGACTCTTAGTTTCATTAAATTCGTTTCGCAACGCGAGGTCGTTGCTCTGGGGTTCTCTCTCTGGGAAACTTCCTAGAGTTCAGATGAAAGAGGCGTCCAAGTCGAGGAGCTTATCCAAGCGTTTGGCCTTCACATTGTGAACAATGCTGCGCAACTGCCTACCTATTGGACGTCCAGAGGATCATCATACATCGATGTCACCCGAAATGCTCCGTTTCGTTCGGAGCTGGGGGGTTAGGACGAGCAGCGATCACAACGCGATAGAGGTCTTTCTGAGACAGTCGAAGGCCACAGCGGCTGCACGGTGTGTCGGTGTGTCACTCTCGATCGAGGCTGGAGGCACTCTGGCTAGACTGCCGAAGATGTTGAATATATGGCGACGGCGTTCACTGGCGTCATTGTCGATTCCTGTGAGGTGTCGATGGCATGGAAAAGGCTGTTTAGGCGGTCCAACCCGTGGTAGACAAAAGACTTGACTAAGCGTAAGAAGGCCGTATACCGGCTAAGATGCGGGCTTCAGAAGGAACGAGAGGAATCTGCTTATCGCCAGAAGCAGCTCTTTTTTATGGGAATACAGCAGGACGGTAAAGCGGGCGAAACTCGAAAGCTGGCACGTCGCACGGTAAATCGGGCCTCAAGCTCCAAGCGGAAAAATTCTGGGTCAGAGATGTGCTTAGCACACTCCGGCGTAGTAACGAGAAGTCGACCATGGATGTACGCGAAACTGCCAGTCTACTTTTGGAAGTTCACGTCCCGGACGACCGAGAGAACCAGGACACTAAGGAAGTGCGTGATTAGGAAAGATGCGCGTATAGCCCCCTCCCCTCTCTATCATCATCGACGATTCATCTCCCATCTTGGAACGCGAGATATTAGCCGCTGTTAAGACCTTCAAGTACGATAAGGCACCCGGCCCGGACATGATAGAGGTACGCGCGCTGAAGATCGCGGCGAAAGTGATCTTGAGCCAGCTGGTGCGACTCTTCGACGGGTGTCTTTCCCGCTGCCTGGAAAGTTGGCTCTCTCAAAGTCTTCCTGAAAGGTGAAGGGAAGGACGAAAAGGACCCGGAATCGTATAGGCCTATCTGTCTCCTCTCCGTGGTAGGAAAGTTATTTGAAAAGGTCATCAAGACGTGCTTAAGCCAGACTTCACCCCGGAACGGATCTCCGCCTGACAGTTCGGTTTCACATCCGGAATGTCGACTGAGGACGCGATCGTGGAGCTGCGGCGCACGGTTGATACTTCCGAGCACCGATACGTGGTGGCACTGCTCTTCGACATCTCGAGCGCCTTTGACAGTTTGATAGCCTGTAGTATTGAAGAGTCTCAAAGATAGGCCATGCGAAACGTCTTCGAGATAATGGTTAGCTATTTTACCGACCGTCGCGTAGTCCTCGAAATAGGCTCCACTATTGTTTCCAAGTTGGCTACCACAGGGTCAGTCCTCGGACCCGCCTGCTGGAACCTTATGTTTGACGACCTACTCAGGTCCCTAAAGGTAGGAAACAATTTCGTTGTGTACGCGGATGATCTCCTCGTCCGTTGAGGAGGATAGCCGGCGCGAGATATAATTGAAGGGCCAGGGAATAATAGACCAGATGTAGGTCCGCGAAGCTACAGTTATCAGTGCGAAAAACAGAAAGGATAGTCTTAAAGAGCGGGATGATAGACAGGGCTCCAATAGGAAGACAGATCCGGACAGAAAGTGCAAAGCTATTCGCTTGTCGAAAATGGCGAATAGGCCGCCGACAATCCGGGGTAGAGACGATTAAATTAACGCTTGGCGTCTACTTCGGAAACTAGATGAGCGTGAGTGCACTGCTCACACATTGAGAATAAAATAGGAAAGTTATTCGGGAAATTAGCTAGACTAGCTGGCAATCGACTTGGGGACTTTGGTACTGAACGCTGGCGTCTTTACTTCAATTGTGGAGTAAAGACGCCGCCTCCGGATGGGCAGATATCTGCACGGCCGCAGACAAACGAAAACTTCGGCCGATACAACAACAGCGATCCCCATCGATCTCCTTCTGGAGAAACACAGGGCCCTGTTCAATCTTCAGAGAGGAAGAGATGCCAGGGTCGGCGAGACAATTCGAGCGCAAGCCGATAGTAGGAATGACAAGGATAGGATACTAAACGAGGCGTACAAAGTGTGATAGTCTTGATGGAACGTCTCTTCAAAAGGCCGCACCACGTATGCCTACTTTTATTGAACGTAGGCTGGCAGCAGGATTAGGCCATCGTATCACTGTACGCAGGTGCTAACCGGTCATGGTGACTTTCGCTCATATCTTTGCGAGCGCCGAATCATCGAAGACGATTTCTGCTTGTGTGGCTCTCTGGGGGATACTGTGGCACACTTTTTGTTGGAGTACTCAGCATACGGTCCGCAAAGGGAAGCCATAAAGTCATTGGCTTCAGTCAACGAGTGGAAGTGGCCGGAGGCGGCAAAATTCATCGCCTCGCCTCCAGAAGTTTTCCAACACTTCGCTAATTTCTGCGAAGAAGCCCTCTATCTAAAGGGCTGCGAGTAGATAGGGATAGGTTAGGTTTGTGAGTCCCAACTCTCCGCGTAATGGACGCAATTAGGAACAGCACAGCTTCTTCAGGGTTAGTCCACCCGCCTAGTGTCTGATATATTGACATAATATTATTATAATATTTTTTACAATATATTGCAAACTCATTGCTAGAAATATATATTCAGATATGATGATAAGATAATTTCAGATGTTTTGAATAATTTTTTGTAGAATATCTAAAATGTTCTCCAAGCCTGCATTTTTATGTATTTTGACAGTTAAATAAATTAAATCTTTACGATGTGCAACGCGTTAATCTTGAATGAACCAATTTGGATATTTATCTTCCACACAACGTAAAATGATCGAAAACAATTTATCCAATATGAATGCCTCGCTATATAAGGATATATTTACCAAAAAGGATAATATTTATCAAAAATAAATTTAATAATTCCAAAAATATGTGAAAATTGCCGATTTGGAATATGTAAATTCCCTAAATCAATGCTATCTTCAAGATTCATATAAGCTCTAAAAGATATCAATAGCGAAAAGATATTACTGTCCAAAAATGTGTCACAACATCTACCATATTGCAATTTATCAATACTTTTCTTAGCAATGTGTCCTGCAAAGTATTCTAGTGTACACGATTCTAATGAACATGTCGATGTTTAATAAATAGTTGCTCGATATCTACTTCTCTATCGTCGTTCATGTTTCTTTTTACTGCAAGCCAATGAAGCATTTAACGCGGCTGATTCTTCTTGTGAAATGTCTCCCGACATTAACGGTACGTCATTATCTGACGTACAATTTCTATGATCTAAACTATTTTTTAAATTTAATAATATATTTATATATTTTTTCTAAATGAAAATCGGGCCGCTTTTGCAGAGGGATTCCGATTGTAAAAGCGAAGAACAAAAAGAAATATTTTCTAATAGATTGCTATTCAAATACAATGTCATTAAAAATGGAAAACCTTTATTTATATCGTCTCACAACTATGATGGGATTTATGGGATTTATGGATTACTGTAATCCAAAGAATATGGACGTGTTTTTAAATTTTCAGCTGAAATAACGTACCAATTTTTCAAATTGATTGCACGATCTATTAAATTTTATCAAATATTATTGAAATTTGACAATTTGCGCATTTCATGGAACTGGAATCACTGTTAGATCTGCTGTTTAAATTGTCAAATAAATCATTTAGAATTTCGAAGTATCGGACTGTGTGTTGTTACTTTTTGTGTTTATATTACCAGTTAGCGGTAAATACAGTAACTAAAACTCTCTTACTAAAAACTTGAAGCGTTGGTTCGTATTTCATCCTGTCGAAATCATTAGGGTAGATGTGTTTTTTTAGGGCAATTTGTAAGCTCGCGTACTTTTACTTTTTTGTAAATTACAAAGCAAAATAACATCTTGTCACGAAACCATTATTAATTAAAAAATCAAATTTCAATCAATTATTCCTAATTGCAGTAAATAAATGTAAATAATCAAATAAATAATAAATTTTTTGATTATTTTTTTTTTTTTTTATAAAAAAAAAGGTCAGCAGCCAAGTTTTTGACTACTGGTTTTGCCTTTTGATCAGAAACAATTGCCCTGACTTCCAAATTTTTTTCATACATTAATGCATTAATATTTGATCCAGAATTGTTTGTAGGATCTTGAGTGATTTAGGCTGCTTATGAAAATGAGCATGCGTGTTTTACTTGATTGCTATCGTTCAGTGGGTGCGCTGTCTCCATTTGCGGCAGGTTATTGTATAATATATGTTTTTTGGAGCTGGTATTGAGGACGAACATCATAGCCGCTACATATTGATAATTCATATTTTCTTATAGCGGATCTTACAACAACCAATGAGTTGTTTCCAAGTAGCTAGCATAAATGCAAGAACTTGTGCACCCACGCCAAAGATCTTATGTCTTCGAAATATTCAATAATTTGTCTCTTGGAATGGAAATCCGGGCACTTTTTGACGGCCCATTTCGTCGAATATTAAAACGCAATTTCAATCGATATCTTCCATATGTATGAACATTTCAATTTTAACGTGTTAAACAAATTTTGGCAAGAACCAAATGTCAGTTTTCCCAAATCATGTGATAATCCAATAAAAATGCTCGGACGAGGACGATCGAAACCCCACAGCATCACGTATATTATTATATAGAGACTAGTGCCATATAATTAGGCGAAAAAACCGTTTTAATTCAGTAGGATCAGTTTCAAACCATTTATCTAGACGATGCGATCGCTGTTCTGATATTATTTGCGCAGCAAATATATGTTCGTCTGATTCGCGATAATTGGAAATATTTCGTCAGTAACAAAGAGAAAATAAAAAACTATGTTCTGTATAGCTAAAAATTCCAAGTGAATTCGAAAAGTTGATCTTGGCTTGATTGCACCGAGGAATACACCAATTTATATCACACTCCTTTTTTTCTATATATAATTCTCATCGTCGTCTTCAGCTTTACTTTCACTATCTGACGCAATTTGACGACGTACTGAGAATGTTATTATCACTCGATGAACTTTCCTCACTATCAGACAGTAGTCGATATCTTTTGGAGAGATACTTGGTAAAATTGAATCGTCAAATGAATTATTTGAGGTGTAATCTTCATTTGAAGCAATGGTAATTTTAAGGGCTAACTAAAAAATTAAATAGTAAATGTGAAGTGCAAAAATTGTTTTAGCGTGTAAAAAAGTATAATAGACCTGAATGTTGGACGTACTCGACGAAAATGAACAAGTGAAACAGTGTTACTTAGCGACTTGAACACACACACAAGCTTACACAATTGATAATCAAAAAAAAAAAAAAAAAACAAGTAAATTGCGAGAAATCGAAGAAATGCATTTCAGCGCCACGAGGGTCACCAATAAGATAAATTCATTAAACATGATTATACGCCTCAACTTATCTATTGTATATAATATGTATCGCATAATAAGAAATTCATGATGGCGCTGACCAAGTTTTTCGAAACTGTCGCCAGCAGATCGACGGTATTTTAACTAGAAAATTGCAGAACAAGGAAACGTGTATAATTTAAATCGATTTTATTCAATTTGATTGAAATTTTCAGAAATAATAAATAGCATGTGAAAAAAAATGAATGAAATAAAAATTACAGAAACATTAATGGGGTAAATAGGATGCATATATATCTGTATACTTCTGTTTATTTATATTATTTATAAATACATCTATTTGTAAATTTACATTTTATTTACACGAAAAAGAAAATTGTAAATAAGAAAAACAAGCAAACCATTATTTATACTTGTTTAGGGTGTGATACTTCTCCCAACAGTCGTCTATACGTATACGATTTTTTAGCAAACAATGCAATCTTTTTTTACGATTAACATGAAAATTTCTATCTAATCTATCCTTTATTTGTAAGTTCGCTGCTCGTCTTTGGGGTTGCACTAATGTTTTAAAGTCAACCCTCAATTGTTCTACCAATTTTTTTCTGAATTTCAAATAGGAAATTTCGCATCCATCTATAGTCTTTGTTGTCGATATATTACATATGAATTGACGCAGCAAATTTCCAAGTCCCGAGAGAACAGTTTTCGCCACCAGTTTAATGACTTTCTTAGAAAACAATTTGACACTGCATAGATTTAGTGTAATTTATCGCAACATCTGGTTTGCCAATCGACACCGTTCCACCGCCACGTATTTTTCTATTTACGCGTGTGTGATTTTTGCTATGACCCATGTACTCAACAGGGTTACAACGAACTTTGAAACTCTTTGCTGTTAGATTCTGATAATTTTTGTTTTTCCTTTGCACTTGCCATCTTAAGTAGGGCTTATAAAAAAGGAAAGCCACAACTCAAAGTGAAAAATTGAAATAGTTGAACACAAAGTGAAAAATTGAATAGTTGCACACTTTGGGAGTACACGGTGAGGATGATTGTTGCGAGTGTATCGATAGTGAGGTAGCGGATTATGCGAGAGAATCCAGTGGAATGTTAGTTTTTTGTTTGATTCTTGAGTCCTTAAGCATAGCAACCTTTCGCCTGATGTGGGGCATATCTCTTCTATTTTTCCATACTGTTCCAAACGCATTTGTTTTATGTAGCAAATTATATAAATGTGGACTTGTGTACCAATTGTCCGTTATC